TGCGACTTTTCAGTGACTTGTCCGAACAGGATAGGATGCGGTCGGAAAGTCAGCTACTCAACGATATGGTAGCAGGACAAATGGTGGCTGGGCTGGCAAACCTGGAGCATCAAAGCAAGGTGTTGTCTGAGGCTGCGACACTTACGACACTGGAAGAAAAATTCAACAGGCTTGTCAGCCTAGAGACCACGGACAAGTCTACACCCCATCTCCATAGTAACGTATACCCTACTACAACGAGCACACAGAGATCGGGCCGCAGGCAGCGGCCTCAGGAGAACCAGACCGTATCAACCCCGAGAGACACTGAACCCTGTAAATGGTGTGGGAAGAGCTCACACCCTGACGGCTCGAATGAACGAAGGGGTTGCCCAGCAGCAAAAGATGACTTGTCACAATTGCGGCTTAACCGGACATTTAAAAGGGGTTTGCAGGAAACCGAAGCAGGGGTCCAGCAACAAATCTACAGCAGGTGTGGTCGGGAGCAGAATCCAGAACTCTCACCACCAAAAAAGACACAAGAAGGGTCGTAACCGGATGATCGTCCAAGATGGACAAGTGAAAAGGAGAGGTGAAATCAACCTGACAAAACCAAAGGCCGTGCCGCACCTGATTTGGAACAAAAGTAAGTTCCGAAGAGGTACTCCTGATCCAGCACCAACCCTGATGGTAGAGATAACTCTGATTCAGAGGCCCATGCGGAATTCGGGCACATATCCATAGGACAAGCTGGCCTCCATACTCACCGGATCGAGGCGATCGCAGACACTGGGGCACAGACATGCTCTAGCGGACCAGAAATCCAAAAAAAAAATTCTGAAGTGTCCAGACAAATGTCTAGTACCGACTAGTCACCGAATTCGGGGAATCACGGATAACCTACTAAACATAAAAAGGCGTGATATTCGCTAAAAGTCAGAGTAGGATCGCGGGAAACACGTCAGATTATATATGTATCAAAAATACATCAGATTTCTGCCTGTCCGAGTCGGCCCTAAAAGACCTTGGTCTGGTGCCAGATAACTTTCAGACCCAACTTCCCAGCAGAACGTGGCAACTAGCGACGGCGGAAAGGCACCATGTGGGTGCCCACAAAGAACTAATGTCCCACCTAAGCCGGACAGTATCCCTTTCGCTCCTATGGAAGAAAACAGACCCCGATTGGAACGATGGATGAAGGGCATTTTGAGTCCAGTGCATTCAATGTATGCCCCACATCAACGGCTGCAGGCGATGGAAGGAAAACCCATGGACATCACGTTCATCCAGGGGCCAAACCCTCAGCTGTCCACACCCCAATCGGTCCCACACCATTGGAAGAAAAGAGTCAAGGAGGACCTCGACCGAGACGTGGCATTGGGCATCATAGAACCTGTACCAGTGGGTACACCTACAACATGGTACTCAGAATGGTGGTTGCACCGAAAAGGACAGGTCACCGAGGCGTACGGTGGACCTACAGAAGCTCAACACCGCTACCCTACGAGAAACCCATCATACACCGTCTCCTTTCAATCAGGCATCGCTGGTGCCTGCGAAAACTAGAAAAACCGTTTTGGATGCATGGAATGGCTATCATAGCCTAACCCTCTCTCCATCGGCAAGAGATGCAACTACCTTCATCACGGAATGGGGTAGATACCGTTATCTTCGGGCACCACAAAGGATTCCAAGCGTCAGGAGACGCATATACACGCAGGTTCGACAATATTACTGTAGATATGCCCAGGAAAACAAGATGTATTGACGATACGATACTATGGGACAACTCTATTGAATCATCATTTTGGCATACTATAGAGTACATAAATAACTGCAGCAAAAATGGTATCGTATTCAATCCCCAGAAATTTCACTTCGCGGAAAAAGAGGTGGAATTTGCCGGATTCTTGATAACAGAAGACGGGATAAAACCCACCAAAAAATGACTGAAACAATACGGAATTTCCCGACACCAAAAAAAAATATAACTGACATAAGATCCTGGTTTGGAATGGTAAACCAGGTAGCCTACGCTTTTTCTCAGGCCGAGGTAATGGCCCCGTTCCGGGAGCTGCTAAAGACAAAAAATCGGAAGTTCTACTGGGACAGCACACTCGATCGAATCTTCGAAGAGTCGAAAAGAAGGATCACAGAAGAAATCGAGAACGGTGTAAGAACCTTCGAAGTGAATAGGCCAACTTGTTTGTCGACGGACTTCAACAAAACAGGCTTAGGATATTTTCTTTTCCAGAAGCACTGCAACTGTGCCACCGAAGCTGGACCGAAGTGTGGTGAGGACCACTGGAAGTTAATCCTGGCCGGCTCCCGATTCACTAATGACGCAGAGTCCCGATATGCACCAGTGGAAGGAGAAGCATTGGCATTAGTCTACGGACTGGAAGCATGCCGGATGTTCGTTTTGGGGTGCCCAGAGCTGTTAGTCACCGTGGACCATAAGCCCCTGGTGAAGATCTTCTCGGACAAAGCTCTGGAGGACATAAAGAACCCAAGACTGTTTAACTTCAAAGAACGGTCCTTGATGTACAAATTTCGAATAAAGCATCTCCCTGGCAAACTCAATGCGGCACCAGACTGTACATCGAGATGCCCAGTGGCGTTAAGCCAGGAGGAAGCAAACGAAGAGGACATCGCACAAACTATGGATAGCGCCATAAGAGCGTCATTTAACTCCACCTATGAGCAGGACCCTAAATTAAGAGCAATAACATGGGACAGGATTGTGGCTGCAGCTGCTACTGACGAGGAATGCCGTTCCCTCGCCGAATTCATACAAAATGGCTTCCCTAAATCTCGGCACGAACTGCCGGAGACAATTCGCCGGTTTTGGCATATGAAAGAGGAGTTATATTGCTTGGAAGGGGTGACGATAATGGAAAATAAAATCCTCATACCCAGAAAGCTACGTGCGGAGGTACTGGAATCACTCCATTCAGCGCATCAGGGCGTCAATGGAATGTTGGCAAACGCTAGACAGCGGCTGTTTTGGCCAGGACTGGACGCGAGCATTCGTCAAACCCGGGCCCAGTGCAAAGTATGCAACGTAATAGCTCCATCACAACCAAAAAGGAACCCCTAATGCCGCCCTCGAACCCCGAGTTCCCATTTCAGAAGACTGTGACGGACTTCTTCGATTTACGAGGGAAGAACTATCTAGTATATGCAGATAGATACACCGGATGGGTAGAAGTCACTCTGATGTCGTCCGGGAATGCCAAGGCTACATGTGACGCCCTACGAAACTGGTTCTGCACGTATGGCGTACCGGAGGAACTTTCAACCGATGGCGGACCACCGTTTGACTCAGTGAATTTAACCGGTTCCTAGATAATTGGGGCATAAGAAACGAACATCATCGGCATATTACCCTCAAAGCAACGGGAGAGCAGAACTAGCAGTTAAAACGGCTAAAAAGGATACTTGTTGATAGCACGGACAGTTGCGGTCGCCTATGCCATGACCAGGCAGCTAGGTCCCTACTGACTCATCGCAACACCCCGGTACGAGACCTACATATGTCTCCAGCGATGATGCTCTACGGTCGCGTGATAAAGGACCATCTCCCAGTGCTCCAGGACCGATATCGAATCCACAAACGCTGGAGAGAAATCAATCATTATAGGGAAACAGCGATGGCAAAAAGACACTTAAGGAATGAAAGAGAATACAATCTAAAAAGTCACCCACTTCAGGAACTGAAAATCGGGGAAACGGTGCAGATACAGAACCAAGTTGGTCCATACCCGCGCCGATGGGCAAAGACAGGAAGGTGGTGGAAACACTGGGTAACCGGCAGTATAATGTACGCATGGATGGGAGTAACCGGGTAACCCGTCGCAATCGCAGATTCCTCCGAAAAATAAACCCAGTAGTAGATACTCCTTGCCACTCGATACCTCAGGTGCCCCCAGGAATGTTGGATACCATAGACAACCCAACAGGGCCCGAAATACCGGGAGAATGGTCCACCACTGATATGGATCAAAACCAGCCCGAAACATTCGACACTCTACCAGAACCGATGGAGGTAGATGACACAGCATCCCCTGGAATGATGGAGGTGGAGGAAGACCAACCGGTGCGTCGTAGCAGAAGGGTGACGCGACCACCCAGGAACCTATCCCCACAGACGTGGGGCACGTCGCACGACTACTCCAGAGCCTCAAAACATTGGACCACAACGCGAGTATCTTGTGGCCCGGAAGGGAGGGGCGTGTAGAGGTGGAATCGAACCTAAGACGCCCAGTTACAAGACCGGAATGGTCTTGGCGTCACACCCCCATAGAAGTAGACTCGCCCGCTTACATGAGAGGCGAGAGTGGGCTACTTAAACAAGACATTCACGGCAACGAGTATCGAGGCAGATACACGTCGTCTCGCTGCTACCTTACAGATGGCTTGTCCTTTCTTTCCTTCTTTTTTTACTACCCTTTTTCGGAGGTCCTGTAGTTTTCTTTCTGCGTCTGCCACCAACACTGTCTCATCTGCTTATCTAATATTAAGATTGAGTTCACCAATAATTATCTTTGATAATGTTCTCTAGTTCTGAACGGAAACAGCTCGGAAGCGAAATGTAACTAAAAGGCTTAAACACGTAATACCCAAGTTTTTTTAATAGTTATTTATCTTTACCCCCAAAAAAACTTCTACTCTTTTAGTACATTTTTTTTCTTTTTCAGCTCCTTTTTACCCCTCTTCGTATCGCTCTCTTCGTACAGGAAACCATTATAAGGGACGATTTCTTATTTATTAAAAGGGTCTTGTTAACTGGCACTAAACCATATGTAAAATAAATGAGCTCTCCCTTTTTCAGGTATCTGGTACTCTCTATTAATCATATTCAGAAGTACGTTCCTTAAGCTTCATGTTTTTTTCCCTTTTAACTTCTTCTCCTCTTCCCTACTTTCTTTCTTTCTTTCTTTTTTTTTTTTTTTTTTTTCGCCGCTTCTTGATGCATTCATTCATTTGCCTTTATTTATTAATTCATTTGCTTCTTTCAGGTCAGACGGGCGTGAATCAGCTCGGCGGAGTGTTTGTGAATGGGCGACCGCTACCTGACCATATCCGGCGTCGAATTGTGGAACTGGCACAGATGGGGGTGCGTCCATGCGACATCTCACGCCAGTTGCTCGTCTCGCACGGCTGCGTCAGCAAGATCCTGACGAGATTCTACGAAACTGGTTCCATCAAGCCTGGCTCCATCGGTGGCAGTAAGCCGAAGGTGAGGGTAAATATCAGTTTTGTGAGTATAAAACTTTTTAACACCATCATCATCCCCCCCAAGGCCCTTTTGGCGTTTCGAACGGGGTCTTTTGTGTGTCTGTTTAGGAAAACATTTGTCCCTCTGACCCTAAACGTAGGTATTTTCTATTCGATTTCGTGATCGTTACCAAGACGGTAAACCGAATCAGCGAACCGATTTCGAATTTCAGCTCAGGCTCATTTTTCTCTCCTGGTAACGGTAATAGTAAGATTAACCGTTTCCCTATAAGGAAACATTCGATATTCTTTGACCGAACAGTTAACATTACTGTCGGTTGAAATTTATAAAATCTTTCTCTTAAAACAGTTTTTCATGAAAATAAGCTTAGGCTGTTATCGCTCTTTCCAGTATTGGCAGTGGTTTCCTTTCAGACCTTTAGTTTAATGTAGTGTTGTAGAGTAGCCTTCAGCACTCTACCAGATGGCCTGGCTCATAGCCTTAAATAGTCTATAGTTAAGGACTGCAACAGTTGATTAATAAGTTGATACTAAGCTGGTTAATATTCGAACTGATCTTACTTCATTTGGCTATACAGCATTTGACCCTCCTTTATTCCTTGTAAGTTGTCTTGTTAATTGTTTTGTAGCTTATTGCTCTGTGTTTTTTGTATGTATCGTTAGCACCGGATACTGATGCTGAATAAATATATTAAGCACTCATTCTTATCTGTGCATCATTCACCCCGACAATACAACAGGTAGTGTGTAAAATCTTCATTATGTCATTATTTACATGAAACTAGAAAAAAGGCATGAATCCACTTTTCCCTACTGTCTAACCCATTGCCAGAAATATTTACTAAATTTATAGCATAGCATAGTGATTAAGAGAGAAGAGAATGAAAGTGAGCATTTGAGGAAATCCCTCCCCCATAATTAACTTGCAGGCGTAATGACAAGGACTAGAAATAATATAAAATTGAGATTATACCGACTAGATGGGAATTTTCAAATTTTCTAATAAGTTAGCGTTATTGTATTTCTCTCCCTCTTCCTTCTTTTCTACTCTTCCTTCTCCTCCTTTATCTTATTTCTTTCACTGCCCTCTTTCTTCTACTTCTTCTCCTCCTCTTCCTTCTCTTCCATTCTTCTTCTCCTCCTTGACCATTCCCTTCTCCTCTATCTCTTCCCTACTCTCTTTCTTCTCTTCCACTCTTCCTATTCTTCCGCCTTCACTGCCCCTTCTTCTCTTTCTTTCCACCCTCTTGTCCTTCTTCTCCTCCTCCTCTTCCTTCTCCTCCTTCACCGCCCCTTCTCCTCTTTCTTTCTACCGCCTCTTCTTTCTTCTCGTCTTTCTCTTCCTTCTCCTCCTTCCTTCACTTTTTCCCTACTCTCTTCCTCCCCCTTCTTGAATAATCAGTTCCAGATCATAGCGAGATAAATTAATGTTGATTTCTCTCTTGAGTTAACGTTATAACTTAATTTTTTATTTCCTTTTCATTTGCATATCATTTTCATATCAACGCACACAACACACACACACACACACACACACATATATATATATATATATATATATATATATATATATATATATATATATTGTAAGAATATTTTTATTTAAAAATATTTTACATCGCTACATAAAATTTCTATGTTTCGGAACTAAAATTGTTCCGTTATCAGGCGATGTTAGGAAAATGATATACTTTTGAAAACAGAAAAAAAAAAAAAGTAGTGGGGAACAAGATTTCAAAGTTTTGTGCGTATGTCTAGGTTAACCAATCAAAAAATGGGTCACTTTATCGCATATCTTAAAACTATATATATATATATATATATATATATATACACCACCTGGCACGCACACAGTAATCGGACATTCTTCTTTGACTTGTGACAATTCAAATGCAAAAAAAGGAAATTATATCGGTGAAACAGGTACGGAATTCCGTCTTTGGTTTAATCATAAGAAAACTGTCAACAGGCAACAACGTTAGTTTCACTGTAGCTACACATTTCAAACAACCGGACAATAGCATTGAAAACGTTAGATGCGTCCTTTTAACGTTTTCATTTAAATATGTGTGTGTGTGTGTGTCATGCATGACGCCAAACCCGTTTATATATTTCTGAACGCCACGTATGATATCCATCCATATGAGAGTTTCTATCTGATGCAGCTATTTAAATATAATTGACCAATAAGTCTGTATCCCGACACAGTGATTAACTAAATTTTCATCTGAAGTTTTTCTTGTATAATGCTCGGGCTATGTGATCTGTAGAGAAACATTATGATAACTACATTTTCTACAAGGATTATATTGACAAAAATATTTTATCCGTAAAATAAATTCTTTACTAGTATTAGGCCATGGATTTATTGATTCACTTGTGTATATGCATAAGAACTTAGTATTGTTCACTCAGCCAGTCACTTATGTGCTATGCGTGATACACGCTGAGGCGATCATCTATCTTTCGATATATGACTGACAAGGCAGATTTTTTTCCGCAGTAGGTTGCCATTTCTTTCTGTTGTTGCCATCCAAGGCTATAGAACTATTTACCCATAGCTGAGGAGAGAAGAAGATAGCTTTCTAAGAGTAAGTGAATATCAGTCAGTTATGTGCCATGCGTGATACACGCTTAGGCGATCATGTATCTTTCGATACATGACTGACAAGGTAGATTTTTCCCGCAGTAGATTGCCATTTCTTTCTGCGGTAGACCAGCTGTTATCCAAAGCTATAGAACTCGGTCTGTCCTGCTGTTTACTCATAGCTGGGGGGGGGATAAGAAGAGGATTCATACCTTTCTCAAGCACATAAATCAATCTGAGCCGCTATCCATTACTCCACCGCACTTTTACTTTTCAAATATTTTATCCGTAAAATAAATTCTTTATTATTATTAGGCCATCGATTTATTGATGCACATATGTATATGATAAGAACTTTTCACGCATTTGCTTCACGTATTTTTTTTTTTTTTTTTTTAGTCATTTCTCCCCAAGTAAGGCGATAATGCTACTAAGACGCAAATGGTTACTAGGGGCGGGGGGGATGAGAAGACTTTAGGAGAATTAACCGGAAACCCAATCCTGAACAAGAAAAGGGATACACCCCTACTCCTGTTCAGTGTTTTAATATCTTCATACCGAATTTCTTACTTATCCAATCTCTAATCTAGTGTTTTTGAGACCGTTCCAAGTGCTCCAATTATTATTGGCACAACCTTCATTGTTCTCTGTATTTTGCATTTTTTCTTTCTTCCTGATGTGATCTACTGGTATAGTGAGGTTCCCTATCCGGCAGGTTGTCTTTTTCCCTCTTTGCAATTATCAGATCCAGTCTCCGATTGAATGTTGTGGTCGTTATGCATGTTAAAATCCCCGGATTGTATTTTTTTTTATTGATTTAATTTATTTATTTTTGTAATTTTCGACTTATTATTGTTGTTGCCGTGATCATGCATCGGTGTGATCGCGCCATACGTCTGCTGGTTATGGACGGAAGACGAGTAAAAACATATCTCCCCAATTTTATGTTGAAAAGATAGCGGCTCGACCATATTTCCCAAAATTATTTTTGAAAAGGTTTCTGGGTTGGGCTGAGAACTTTTCAGCATATCCTCGTTTAGCACTATCCCTGGCAGATTTGTCTATCCAATTGTATGAGCTGGACTTACAGATGAACCAATAATTATCAGCAAGGCCCATACCCCTCATCGCTAAGCGTTTCTTCAAATTATTATTATTATTATTATTATTATTATTATACAGGGTTTCCGTTAAGCCTGGACACATGGAATATTAACAAATAACATTTTCAATATGACTTCCATCATTTATGAAGCAAAGGTTAATGCGCTTTGCAAGATTCACGTGAACTCGATTCAATAAGTCCACATTGCCGTCAATTTTCACTCTTTATGCGTTCAATCAAGTGTGTTGCATCTGTGATTTTCATTAAGTACACTTTCTCCTTTAGCAGACCTCGGAAAAGGAAGTCAGTTCTTTTTTATTTCGACAAAACCATGTTTAATCGGTGGAGGTAAAAAAATATAGTTATCGAGATTTCAAATGTGGCCAGTCTTTAGGAACACCCTGTACATCATCACAATTATTGCATCAACGCCATTATTATTATTTTTATTATGATTATTATTTTTCATTGTCATTAATAATATTGCATAAACCACATTATTAGTGTGTTGTTATTATTATTATTATTTCGTCAACGTCATAATCATTATTGCAGCATTATTATATTATTATCGCATCCATATAATCGTTATTGCATCTTTTCTTGTTGGTATTATTATTATTTTTATTTTCTTTGATTTCTGGCATTTACACATTTCTTTCCGGGTCCCGCCCAGAGACCTAAGGTTAGAAATGGCATCATGACACTTTCACTGACAAAAAAAAAAAAATTACATAGATAAAGCCCTTCGTAAAGTGTGGGCTGTACTTGTCAGAACAATTTTTTGTATCTCTTTGAGGCATGGACTTCCAGGAATCCCTTCAATTAGTCTACTGCAATCTTTTCCAACCAGTCCTAGGGCTCCAACTACAACAGGGATTGTTGATGTTCCCATATGCCACATTTTCGAGATTTCTATTTCAAGGTCCTTGTATTTTGACAGCTTTTTGAATATCTTTTTGAAGATAGATTGCAGTCAGCAGGGACTGCCATATCAATGAGGAGGCACCGTTTTTGTTTGTGGTCTTTAATAACAATATCTGGGCGGCTGGCCTTGATTGTTCTGTCAGTGTGTATTGTGTAGTCCCATTATTATTATTATTATTATTATTTCCTTTGGTTTCTGTTGTATACTCATTTCCTTCCGGGTCCCAACCAGAGACCTAAGGTCAGAAATGGCTTCATGACATTTTCCACTGATCATTTTTGTAAAAGAAAACAAAAAACCCTAAGATCACACATATTTTACACAGCTAAAGCTCTTCGTGAGTTATACTTGTGAGTACAATTTTTTGTATTTCTTTAAGACATAGGCTACCAGGAATCCCTTCAATGAGTCTATCTGAACCTTTCCAATCAATCCCAGGACTTCAACTACAACTGGAATTATTGAAGTCCTCGTGTGCCAGATTTTTTTAGATTTCCACTTCAAAGATATATTGCAATCTGCAGGGACTGCCATGTCAATAAGAAAGCTCATTCTGTCTCTGTGGTCTCTAATCACGATGTCTGGCCGATTAGCTATGATTATTCTGTCTGTCTGTATTGTAAAGTCCCTTAACATTGTTACTGATCCTATTTCTGTAACCGGGTTTGGGTGATGTTCATACAAAATTCTTGCAGTTTCCTTCCTGTTAAGGTTGCATATTTTCCAGTGCAGATATTGTCCCACTCTATCGTATCGAGTTTTATATTGAGTGGGTTCTAACATATGTTTCTGGATATTTGTCACAGAATCTATATTTTGATGCATTATTTACCTATAATAATAATAATATAATAATAATAATAATAATGCTGGTAGTGATTTTGCACAATTCCCAGTGTATCACCTATCCCACCTAGACATTATTATTATTAATATTGAATGAGAGATAAGGACACCAACAAAGTGACACTAGATGAACAAATACGCAAAGAAAATATATTTATCATGGCACACAGGCTAGGGGCATATAAGGCACACGCATCAAAGCCAAATTTGGGCGATATGGTCACAAGTTTTCATTCTTCTTTTTTTACTTCCTTCTGATATTTATAAAATAAATGTAAGTTCCTGTTTTGTTAGACAAATTTGTCAGAATGGTAAAACCAGCATTTCGATGTCTGTGTGCCATAGATCCACACTATTTGGAAAATGTTCTCTCCATGGAAGTCTTAGAACCAAGTGGAGCTGATTTGGAAATAAACAATTCTTTCAAACCAAGTTCTAACCCTATTTTCTCATCACTTAATCAGTCTTAACCGAAGGCGACATGAGTAAATCTTCTGACACAATTTATTTCGCGTCATTGTACTATATTTAATATCATTATTATACCATTTTAGATGATTTAGGTGTATCTAAGTCATGGTGTTACTGTGCTGAAAAGAAAAATGATGAACAGACGATGTACATCGATAGAACAAGGCTTCGATAAAAGACAAGAATAATTGTAATTTCCAGCAAGAGCTCCTGTAAATAAAAATGTCTCTTCTCTAAGGTGGGAAAAATGATTTAATTTAGCCAAATTTTTAATCCAGTTAGTTTTGTCCAAATAGATATTTCATAAAAATATATGCTCTTTTTCCCTAGGCATCTGTTCCGATGTATTCATAAGTAAAAAAAAAACAAAAAAAAACCGATTTATTTTATTTTATTCATTTTTATTGTTGCAAGTAATTTACAACTTCTCTACTTTATTGTTTTATTGTATGGATGTTGACTACAAGAACTAATTTCATCCGTTTTTCGTTCTTTTTCATTCTTTTTTTTTTCTTTTTCATTCTTTTTTACTCTCACTCATTCTTTCTTTTTTGTTCTATTTTATTCTTTTTCTTTCTTTTTCATTCGTTTTTACTCTTACTCTTTCTTTCTTTTTCGTTCTTTTTTTTTCTTTTTCTTTCTTTTTCATTCCTTTTTACGCTTACTCTTTCTTTTTTGTTCTTTTTTATTCTTTTTCATTCTTTTTTCTTTCTTTTTTTTTCTCTTCAAAACAAAAGCAAGTAGCAACTCCGCTCGTCGTACGCAAGATCCTCAACTTCAAACAAGAAAACCCTTCGATCTTCGCCTGGGAAATTCGTGATCGTCTCCTAGCCCAACGGATTTGCGATGAACAGTCCATCCCCAGCGTCAGCTCCATCAATCGCATTCTACGCAACGCCAGTGCATTTATCGGAAATGACCGCGATTCCCCGTCATCGGCGTTGTCCCAGCAAACTCTAGCCGGCAATCTGCAATCACCAAAATGCTTCATGGCCGCTGCTGCTGCCGCCGCCGCCGCCGCTGCGGCCGCGGCAGCTGCCAACGCGCCAGTCGGGTCAGTGGGTAACCATGCAACACACGGAGCGGCCGGTCTCCCACCCGGCGGGATAGCCGCCACGGCTGCGTTATTTCCGCACCCTGCTTACACAAATAATTTCCTTCCCATCCCGGGCCTCTCCTATCCAAAACTGGTGCAAGTGTGTGCCAGTGGTGGCGGTGGAGGCGTTGCTGGCGGCGGCGGTGGCCGAATGGACAGCCCTTTGAACGGCCAAAGATCTAATTCCCCTGGTCCGCGAGATCTGAGTTGCGACGATGAAAATAAAGATGTGGACGTCGATGAAGACGATGACGTCGATATCGAAGACGATTCACCTCTGCCCAGAAAACAGAAATCCAATCATTTGACTCCAGGTAAGCAAATATTCATTTAATTTCTGAGGTTCTTTATATTACAATTTCAAATCAATCTGGTCGCTGTTTCTACTGGATATCACTGTTGTATAGCGTTTTCTGTGTGATTACTTCTAAAGTCTACGAATTTTGCTTACCAGTTGATTAAACTACGATAAATACAGGGTGTCCATAAAGTTCATGTGCATTTTTAAACATTTATAACTTTATTTGTATTTGCGATAGAAATAATTTGTGAAAAGGATTAGAAAGAAGTAAAGCTATATTTTTTAAGATTTTATTGAAATTTTATTTAAGTTTCCACATGTCCTCCATCATTAGCAATACAAAGGGTAATAAGATTTTGGAGTTCACGGAAAACAATTGCCAACTGATTTACAGTAATGCCTGAAATTACATTAGTTATTTTAGCTATACTTAAAACTAGGTACATTAAACTTTATAACATTTTTTACAGATTATTTCGCAAATACAAATAAAGTTATAAATTTTTTAAAAGTGCACACGAACTTTAACTAAATATAAAATTTTACGGTTTTCCGATTTTAATTTTCTGATAATTCTTAATTCATAAGTTAGTTATTCAATAAACTCATGACGAGTTCTACGGAAATAAAATATCCGTAGAAATTTCCCTAACACATCAACATCAAAATATTGCAATAGCAATCAAAAATATGAAACCTATTCGTTAATTAAAGAAGTCGGTGAGTACAAATGAAAAAATTTTAAATTAACAACTTTTTTAATTTCATTGAAATAGACATTAAACACTTCTCTCTCTCTCTCTCTCTCTCTCTCTCTCTCTCTCTCTCTCTCTCTCTCTTTCATTTTCTCAGTGAAACCAAGTAGTGTCTCTAATAAGTCTTTTCCGTCTTTTCACACGATCAAAACGGAATAGTTCATTATTTATGAGGTATTGACAGGGGATGTTAAACACTTCTTTCTTTCGTTTTTTTTTTTCTTTTCTTCTCCACTGCAACCAAATAGTTTTATTGATGTGCCTTTTCCGTCGTTTCAAACTATCAAAATGGAATAGTCCATTATTTATGAGGCCTTGGCAGAAAAAAACGTCTTTCTTTCTTTCATTTTCTCACTGAAACCAAGTAGCGTCTCTTATATGTCTCTTCTACCTTCCTCCGATATCAAAACGGAAGAGTTTATGAAATATTGGTTATGCCTTAACGGTCGGGCTAACTAAAGGAATTAAAATAGACAAAACTTGTCTATATTATTTAATGAAACATGCATCAATATATATATATATATATATATATATATATATATAGTACAGGTAAAAAAATCCGTTGTTCCTAATAATATAAAATATTAAAACTGATCCACAAAAAGAGCTCAATGTATTTATTATAACAGAGCATATAAATTACACAACAGAGAAATCTAAAATTACCTCATGGGTATAGTCTATTTCAGCTGACACCGAGTACGTGAGTCTTATTCAACCCAGACGGTGGACTGTATTCAGTGTCGGGATTAAAGATTTAAAATTTAATAGTATTTTAGACTGCAGTTGAAAAAATGATACAGAGCCTTCCCATATTAAAGCCTCAGCATGACAGACTGCCCGAGTAGTGGTAAGGTGCGGACTGAAGTTATTTGTCTTAAAGGGAAAGAAGCTCCACAAATTCAACCCAGATATTAACCTTTAGATAAACTAAATGAAGGCCGAAAAGAGTTTTATAAAACTAAATTTTTAATTATTAATTATATAAACATAATTGTTCCAACTAAAAACATACCAAAATATGCTTACATTTAAGATGTATAAGAAGATAAACAATAAATTATATTTAAATTGTTTATATTAAGAAATAATATATTAAAAGAAATAATACTATTAATAAATAAAAATAAACATAATTTAACTATATATATATATATTATATTATCCATTTAGAATTTCAAAGTTAGATTATTAAGAATACAAACCATATATATATATAATTTGAAAGAAAACCAGACCACTTTAAGGCTCCATAGTAATAATTTATTTCACCAGAGAATTTTATTTTTTCTCTGGATTCTCAGACTTTACTTTCAAAGACGAAACGAAAAAAATGAATTTAAAATTTAGACTTTTGACGGGCAGTATTAAGCTTATATAAGTTGAATTTTCGTTACTTTATATATATATATATATATATATATATATATATATATATATATCAATGGCTAAACATGAAAATTACTTTAAGTGCTCAAGAGCGTTTAAGGGCAACGAATATAGTTGCGTAATTAATCAAATAAGCGCAAATTTACACTATTCGACGAGACTCTGAGAATATCAACTGAAATTAAAGTTTCATGAAATCCTTGTTCTACATTCCTTTCTATGTTTGCATATTTATTGAACTCTTTTTTTGTCTTTCTTGTACACAGAAAACGAGTTCAATAAATAAACAAAAAAAGGAGTATAAGACAAGGGTGTGTCTTCTCGCCGGACTTATACAACCTTTACAATGAAACGATCCTGTGAGAACCAGATGTCCTACCAGGATTCATTATTGACCACCATAGTCTAGACAACATAAGTTATGCAGATAAATTAGTGTTGCTAACAGACACAGAAAGAAAACTACAAGAACCCCTACAGAAGGTAGTGAAGAGAAGCGAGAAGAAATGACTAAACATCAATTGCGGGAAGACGGAGTGCATGGGTGTTAGCAAAAGGACCCCCCCCCCCAACATGCAAATTACAAATTGGAGATACGAAAATCAAACAAGTGCAGTAATTTATATATCTAGGAAATGTTTAAAACAGAAGACGGAAAGTGCGACACTGAAATCCGAAGGCGCATTGGGATAGAGAAAGATACCTTTCAAAAACTAAGCAAAGTATTAAGAAACAGGAAAATCTGGTTAGAAACAAAGAAAAGAGTACTGAACTTTTATGTAATGTCAGTCCTCCTATATGGCAGTGAATGCTGGACAATCTCCTCACAGATGAAGATGAAACTGGAAGCAACAGAAAAGTGATTCTACAGAAGAATGCTGAGAATACCTTGGACCGAACATGTGAGAAATGACGAAGCTTTAGAGAAAATGGAAGCAAAAAGGAGACTTATACTTAACATCAGGAAGAGACAGTTGAAATTTCTAAGGTACATAATGAGGAAAGAGGGCTTGGAAAATTTGATACTCACAGGACAAACTGAAAGCAAGAAAGACAAAGGAAAATAATGCATAACCTATCTAGCGAGCTTGAGAAAATGAATGGCGAAGCAAGGATTAGGAGAGATAGCAAAAAGACAAAATTTATTAAGGGCTACAAAGGACAGGAAATTGTGGAGAGCCATGACCACCTACGTTCTAAAGGGACCCGACATATAGAAGAAGAATGCTGACGCGTATGCAGATATTTTTAAATCTCTCTCTCTCTCTCTCTCTCTCTCTCTCTCTCTCTCTCTCTCTCTCTCTCTCTCTCTCGCTCTCTCTTTCTCTCAATGAGTTATCTGCCCTTGGCATGTATCTTATAATCGTTTTTTTCCCGCTCTAATTTTATTTTTATTTGTTCATTGTTCTTTTTTTCGGTTGATTTAATTCACTTCGCCTTTTGTCTTTGTCGTTTTCCGCTCGAGGCGTTGATGTGAAATGAACAAGACGAAAATCAGTTTTCGACAATGAAGAAACATTCAAATGACAGTGAAAGCAGACATGTCTGAAAAAAAATATAGGAATTAATAGCGACTCTTTGTAAGAAGTTACACGCATCAATAGATGGCTATTTTATTATTCCCTTTCACCCACTGCTTTTCTCTTCTATCTACCTCTCACTTTACACACACACATAATATATATATATATATATATATATATATATATATATATATATATTCAAGCATATTTCATTGAATAATATAGACATATTTTGTTCATTTGTTTTTATAGTAATCCTTTCTAGTTCTCTAACTAGTTTCTTGATGTAAAGTTGAAATTCATCAAGGAAGGCACCGTAGTTTTTTTTATTATGCTTTAATGAAGATATTTCTTATATATATATATATATATATATATATATATATATATATATATAGAGAGAGAGAGAGAGATAAAATAGTTATTGTTCAGAGTTGAATTAGACCAGGAGACAGTTGTATTAAATGTATTCAATACACGTATAAAGAAATAAAAACTTAACATGCAGAGCTTTTAAATCTATAAAAATATCAATCACGCTACCTTGGTTTCAATCTTTCGGTTTCCTCAGGTGATTTAGGCTAAATTATTTCTTAACGTTTTATTATTTATATACAAGTCATCATTCCAGCTAGAAAGCCTTAGGAATTCTACCAATTCTAAAAGATCCGATTATAAACTGGAAAATATTTTTTTAAAAGCCAAACTTTTCGGCAATCGTAGCAAACTGTACCAGGAAAGTTAACAATAATAACATTTCTACCCCCCCCCTAAAAATCTATTGAATGAATGATTGGAAATAATGAGGTGACGCATACACACTAAAAAGTAGTTTTTGAGTTCGTATGAACCAGGATGAAAGTATGTGCATTTTATTTACTCCCCATCCAATACAATTTCAATACTCTTGCTTTTCTCCTGCCCTTCTATTACACTTCCCGTGATGCGTTTATATATAATAAACCGTGAGGAAATCATTTGTCCATTTTAATACAACTGTTTCCTGGTCTAATTCAACTCTGACTAATAACTATTTTATATATATATATATATATATATATATATATATATATATATATATATAACGTACATACATACATGCATATATAGATAGTTAGTTGCTTATTCGTGTCGTGGTTTTTTTCTTTGGGCTTCAAACCTGTATCGGTGCGATTTTTTTCGACAGACTTTCATGTTTCTAGCTCTTTCTTTTTTTAAAACCTTTTTTTCCCTCGAGGTTGATTTGATTATTGGCAAATCAAAGACTCGAAGGTTTTTCAAAACAGTATAATTATCTATATTTGTATTTACATGCATATATATATATATATATATATATATATATATATATATATATATATATAATATGATTATTAAGGAACAAGCCGGAAAACAAGCAAGAAATGTAAATAAGAAAGAAGACGTTTGGATGACTTCAATTATTCATTATTCATGTGATTTTTAATTATTCTATTTTTTACATGGCTCTCAGGGGCTCTCCTAAGTGCTCCAATAATGATGGGTAAAATTGCCATCTTCATATTTTAAATATATTTTGTACTCTGACAAGGCCAATATTGTTATTATTATTATTATTATTGATAGTAGTCATTATGATGGTGGCGGGTGTAGTGGTGGTGGTGGTGGTGGTTACAAAACTATTTTATTTCATATTTAAATTCTCGTTTTCATGAAGGCATGAACATTAGTTTTTTTTTTTTTTCACTAATCATTTCCACTTGACCTTATGACATCCATCAACTTGATCTTAATTTTAATCAATACTCTCCTTTTGCTTAGCGTGTGCTTTGCTCTAATTGCCGTCATATCCATCGCAGCCACAACTTCATCTAATGTTAATATAATTTTATTAATCACTTATTCCGCGCCAAGAGGATAACTAATTTCCACAGCTTACGCGGCTGTTTCACTAGATCGCATTTTCTCCCAAATCTCCCGTTCCGCCCCCATTTTTTACCATCCACCTTCACGCATCTTCCCAGACATCCACTCGTCTTGCAAGTGTCGGCGTTGCTCTCAAATCTCTATCATCTTCAGGAAGAAGGACTCGTTGCAAGACGCATTAACCGTAAAAATACAACCGGAGAATCGAAAGATTGAAATTTGCAGTTGACTGAATTTATCGAGTGGATTTTTGTAACAGCCACTCTTCAAGGATTGAAATAGGGACCAGATTAAATTTGTCTGATTTGACATTAATGAAAATAGTCTTAGAATTTCATTTTTTGTATTTCTTTCTCGTTTTCGTCTCCTTTGTAGAATTCATAATTCCATTAGCGTTTTACTGCCTTTTGTTTTTTCTCCATTCTTTCTTTTTCCTTTCTTTTTTGTTCTATCTTTATTTCTTTTTCCTTCTTTTTATTCCTTCTTTTCTTTTTCTTCTTTCGTTTTCCCTTCCTTCTTTTTGTTCTTTTGATCTTTCTTTCTTTTTTCTTTTTTCTTTCTCTTCTTTTTCTTACTTTCTCATTTATCTTCTCTCTGCTTTCTTTCTTTCCTTTTTCTTTCTATTCTTCCTTCATTTTTTATTTCCTTCCTTCTTTCCCGTTTTCTTTCTTTTTCTTTCTTTATTACCTTCCTTATGTATTTTCTTCTTTCTTTCTTTCTTTCATTTTTCTTTATTTCTTTCTTTCATCCTTTTCTTCATCCTTTTTCCTTTTTCTTTCTTTTTCCCGCTTTCTTCTTTTCTCTCTTACTTTCCGTCATTCTTTATTTATTTCCTTCTGTCATGTTTTTTTCTTTGTTATCTTCCTTTCATTCATCTTTTCTTCATTTATTTCCTTTTTCTTTCTTTCTTTTTTTCTGCCATTGCTTCCTCCTTACTTTTTATTTTAATTTTCCTTCCTTTTTCTCTCTCTTGTTTTCACCTTTTTCTTTACTCCTTTTTTTAAAACAAAATCACTTCTTTCATTTACTTTACTTATATTTTTTTCTGACCCTTTAAAATTTTTTCTATTATTCAGGAATTATTCCGATCTTTTATATTTTATTCGTTTTTTTTCATTCCTTTTTATTTATTTATATCTTTTTTCTAATTTCCGTTTTTTGTTACATTTTTCGGTCTTTACATATTTTTTATTTCTGTTTCTTTTCTTTTTTTTACCTTTCTGGATGTGTATAGTTTGGTGTGGAATTTGCATTTACAATTAAATACACCTAATTAAAGGTAAAAGATTATGTCTTTCAATGCAAAACTTTTACAAAGAGACCAAGGAAATTATTCCTACACATTCATTTCAATTTTTCTTTCCTGAAAATAATTCAGAGTCAGATAGACAGAAAAGAAGAAAGAAGGTAAAGAAAAGAAAAAAAAAAGAAAAAATGAAAGAAAGAAAAATAGATGGAAAGAAAGGAAAAAAAAAACGAAAAAAGTTTGAAAAAGTATTAAGAAAAGGAAAAAGAAAGAAAGAAAAGAAAAAGTAAGACGAAAGAATGAAAAAGGGGAGGAAAAAAAAAACAAAGACGCAATAAAGAACAACTTTGTACACATAGAACGTTCGGTGTATTTGCTTTTCTACCAGAAATAACGATGAAGACGCTATAAACATCTCTCTTAAATGTGTATCCTGTTTTTCTACCTTCCCTGAAAAATAAAATTAACTACACACAAATTTACTACATACTACATTTCTATACTTCTACGGATGCTCATAAGGCCTCTGATCGAGAGACTGAAGGTTTTGAGGCGCATGAAACCACCTCAAATGCTGTTGTACCCAGATCAACTCTGACTCGAGGTGGTAGCACCTGTTAGGGTCCCAACTATGGGCAAATAATGAACCCTTCCACACAAAAATATCAACAGGTCATTTTTGTAGTAAAATGACCAACAATACATTTTTATAGTAAAATTACAATCAATACGACACTAAAAAAGTATAAAAATACAAACAATACATTTCTTTATAAAACATTACCAACAATATATTTTTATAATGAAATTTCCAACGCTACATTTTATGATTTGCAAACTACCCTGAAAGCATAAAATTATGTACAAAATATTTAGATTTCGGCATAGAGGTTGATGAAACCCAAATCAAACAACCAACAAACGTATATGCTAAAAAGCTGAGTATCATCTACCATGTATTCAGTTGTGAAAGCAAAATAACATGTATTTTTATTCCTTGAAATCTTCCAAGAAAATTAAATTTCGGCATCAAATGATCCATAAGGATTTGATATGCCGTTAAACAAACAAATCAATCAATCTATACTTCCAGTCTATGGTATACCAAATGAAATAGTAAAAGCCATTATGGCGATCCACAAAAAACAACACAATCTATGGTACAATCTCCAAATGGGGATAAAGATTTCTTTGGATTTGCTGCAAGGACACTACAAGGTGACACTACCCTACGTCTTCATCGCTTGCTAGGATTACGTTCTTATAATTTCTGTCGATACAATTAAAGACAATGAATTCACACTAAATCCTGCCACAAAAATCACAGATGCAGATTGACGCTGGTGATTTAGTAACATTTCGATCTATTAAACTAAAGCAGAAACACCCTTCTCCATCGTCATAAACATTCATCTGGAAAATTCTTTAGCTGCGAAAAGCAATATAAACACACTCATTGGTAGAGCCTGTGGTACTGTCGACAAGTTATCTCAGAGTGTGTAGGTCTGGACTTCCAGGCAAAAGAAAAGAAGCCATTTCCAAGCAAAAATTATCTCAGTATGGCTGCTCAGCATGGATCCTTACCTCAACACCCTGAAAGAGATTGAATGAAGTCAACACTAGCATGCTAAGAGTGGTTTGGAATGTCAATTGGAGAAATCGTCTGATCAATGAGCGATTGTATGGGAACCTTCTTCCAATATCGGACATCATCAAAGAACGTAGAATCAGATTCGCAGGGCATTGATGGGGGAGAGCTAAAGATGAAATTGCTAGTAATGTTCTTTTTCGGGAGCACACAAAAGGAAGGGCTAACGGAAGACGGTAAGCCAAGACCTATAACAAGCATATTTCTTATGACGACATAAACTATATATATATATGTGTGTGTGTGTGTATAAACTATATATGCATAATATATATATATAAATATATAAATTATACATGTATAGTTATATATATTATATATATAAATATTATATATTTTATATTTTTATATATATATATATATATATATATATATATATATATATATATGCTTGTATTCCTTCTGAATTCCTTATCTATATATAATTCTGTGACGTCCTTTAATTAGTGCGTCAAACCCTCTAAAATGACTTTACATTGACCAATCGGAACCAAATTTTGAGGAGAACTGCAATTGGATACAAAGTACAGTGCGTAGCTTAGTAAAATAAATTTTTATTAATTTTGGGGGAAAATTTTTTTTTATTTATTTAACATACAAAATACTCCCACTATTTAAAAAACAATTTAATGATTAAAATAACAAATAATTATTTAATAAAAATGCAATATTATTTTTTGCACATTCAAGAATCCAGTTTCCAGTTCTCCCTATGTTTGCTAGATCTATGAACAAATCACAACGCCAAAGGCTTCAAAAAGTCAGAATTTAGCTCCAGAAAGAAATACTTGCGCATGGACAGTTGTATATAACATGCTCAAAAGTAAGAAATCCTAAGAATTTATTCTTTGCTGTTAAAAATGAAAAAAGAAAAAAAGAAATTTTCCCATGAAATCCTATAAAATTAAACTTAATTTTAAAAAAAAATTATTAAACCGCAATGTAGGGGTTTTGTCAATGCAATGTCAATCGCTATTATCTGTTTTCTTAATTCCTTTTCTTTTATTGCGTTTCTTTATCTCATATTCTTTTACACCCGGTAACCCGTTTCGTCTTAATAATAAAGCCATTAGGTGAAATGGTTCAAAGCAAATCTGGAGTGACAACGCACTGGGGACGTCATTCTCAAATAGATACACCGAACGTTCGTTATTAAAAAGTCAGTGGTTAGAGTTCAACCTTTTCTCTTCCTATTCTACAAAGAAACTCAATAACTCTCAAACATTTGGAAACAACGGCTTTTGTTGATAACTAATAAAAAAAAACTACTTTAATATAATTCCATAGTAATAGGATAAACAGTATTAACAAGAATACCTATTATTTATATGCACGAAATTTAGTTTGGAAATACTGTTACTAAAAAAACAGCCAATGAGAAATTGGCCAAAAGTCAGCTTTCAAAACAATAGTCCGGAATAGCGCAACAGGCTTGATAGATAGACAAATATGAACATACATAGATAGATAGATAGATAGATAGATAGATAGATCTGAACAAACTCAGAAGTGAACGTATTCAGATAGATAGATAGATAGATAGATCTGAACAAACTCAGAAGTGAACGTAGTCAGATAGATAGATAGATAGATAGATCTGAACAAACTCAGAAGTGAACGTATTCAGATAGATAGATAGATCTGAACAAACTCAGAAGTGAACGTATTCAGATAGATAGATAGATAGATCTGAACAAACTCAGAAGTGAACGTATTCAGATAGATAGATAGATAGATCTGAACAAACTCAGAAGTGAACGTATTCAGATAGATAGATTCAGATAGAACAAACTCAGAACGAAACGTATTCAGATAGATAGATAGATAGATAGATCAGATAGATAGATAGATAGATCTGAACAAACTCAGAAGTGAACGTATTCAGATATGATAGATAGATAGATAGAGATCTGAACAAACTCAGAAGTGAACGTATTCAGATAGAAGATAGATAGATAGATAGATAGATCTGAACAAACTCAGAAGTGAACGTATTCAGATAGATAGATAGATAGATAGATCTGAACAAACTCAGAAGTGAACGTATTCAGATAGATAGATAGATAGATAGATCTGAACAAACTCAGAAGTGAACGTATTCAGATAGATAGATAGATAGATCTGAACAAACTCAGAAGTGAACGTATTCAGATAGATAGATAGATAGATAGATCTGAACAAACTCAGAAGTGAACGTATTCAGATAGATAGATAGATAGATAGATCTGAACAAACTCAGAAGTGAACGTATTCAGATAGATAGATAGATAGATAGATCTGAACAAACTCAGAAGTGAACGTATTCAGATAGATAGATGATAGATAGATCTGAACAAACAGAAGTGAACGTATTCAGATAGATAGATAGATCTGAACAAACTCAGAAGTGAACGTATTCAGATAGATAGATAGATAGATAGATCTGAACAAACTAGATAGAAGTGAACAAATTCAGAAGATGAACGATATTGAACAAATAGATAGATAGATAGATAGATAGATAGATCTGAACAAACTCAGAAGTGAACGTATTCAGATAGATAGATAGATAGATGAACAAACTCAGAAGTGAACGTATTCAGAACAAAGATAGATAGATCTGAACAAACTCAGAAGTGAACGTATTCAGATAGATAGATAGATAGATAGATAGATCTGAACAAACTCAGAAGTGAACGTATTCAGATAGATAGATAGATAGATAGATAGATCTGAACAAACTCAGAAGTGAACGTATTCAGATAGATAGATAGATAGATAGATCTGAACAAACTCAGAAGTGAACGTATTCAGATAGATAGATAGATAGATAGATGAACAAATCAGAAGTGATCAGATAGATAGATAGATAGATAGATCTGAACAAACTCAGAAAACGTATTCAGATAGATAGATAGATAGATAGATTGAACAAACTCAGAAGTGAACGTATTCAGATAGATAGATAGATAGATAGATCTGAACAAACTCAGAAGTGAACGTATTCAGATAGATAGATAGATAGATAGATCTGAACAAACTCAGAAGTGAACGTATTCAGATAGATAGATAGATAGATAGATCTGAACAAACTCAGAAGTGAACGTATTCAGATAGATAGATAGATAGATAGATCTGAACAAACTCAGAAGTGAACGTATTCAGATAGATAGATAGATAGATAGATCTGAACAAACTCAGAAGTGAACGTATTCAGATAGATAGATAGATAGATAGATCTGAACAAACTCAGAAGTGAACGTATTCAGATAGATAGATAGATAGATAGATCTGAACAAACTCAGAAGTGAACGTATTCAGATAGATAGATAGATAGATAGATCTGAACAAACTCAGAAGTGAACGTATTCAGATAGATAGATAGATAGATAGATCTGAACAAACTCAGAAGTGAACGTATTCAGATAGATAGATAGATAGATAGATCTGAACAAACTCAGAAGTGAACGTATTCAGATAGATAGATAGATAGATAGATCTGAACAAACTCAGAAGTGAACGTATTCAGATAGATAGATAGATAGATGAACAAATCAGAAGTGAAACAAACTAGATAGATCTGAACAAACAGAATGAAGATAGATAGATAGATAGATAGATAGATCTGAACAAACTCAGAAGTGAACGTATTCAGATAGATAGATAGATAGATCTGAACAAACTCAGAAGTGAACGTATTCAGATAGATAGATAGATAGATAGATAGATCTGAACAAACTCAGAAGTGAACGTATTCAGATAGATAGATAGATAGATAGATAGATCTGAACAAACTCAGAAGTGAACGTATTCAGATAGATAGATAGAGATAGAATGAAGATAGATAGATAGATCTGAACAAACTCAGAAGTGAACGTATTCAGATAGATAGATAGATAGATAGATGAGATAGATAGATAGACAAATCAGATCTGAACAATTCAGATAGATAGAACGTCAGAAGTGAACGTATTCAGATAGATAGATAGATAGATAGATCTGAACAAACTCAGAAGTGAACGTATTCAGATAGATAGATAGATAGATAGATCTGAACAAACTCAGAAGTGAACGTATTCAGATAGATAGATAGATAGATAGATCTGAACAAACTCAGAAGTGAACGTATTCAGATAGATAGATAGATAGATAGATAGATAGAGAACAAATACGTATTCAGATAGATAGATAGGTAGATCTGAACAAACTCAGAAGTGAACGTATTCAGATAGATAGATAGATAGATCTGAACAAACTCAGAAGTGAACGTATTCAGATAGATAGATAGATAGATAGATCTGAACAAACTCAGAAGTGAACGTATTCAGATAGATAGATAGATAGATAGATCTGAACAAACTCAGAAGTGAACGTATTCAGATAGATAGATAGATAGATAGATAGATAGATCTGAACAAACTCAGAAGTGAACGTATTCAGATAGATAGATAGATAGATAGATCTGAACAAACTCAGAAGTGAACGTATTCAGATAGATAGATAGATAGATAGATAGATCTGAACAAACTCAGAAGTGAACGTATTCAGATAGATAGATAGATCTGAACAAACTCAGAAGTGAACGTATTCAGATAGATAGATAGATAGATAGATAGATCTGAACAAACTCAGAAGTGAACGTATTCAGATAGATAGATAGATAGATAGATCTGAACAAATCAGAAGTGAACAAATTCAGATAGATAGATAGATAGAAGATCTGAACAAAAAGTGAACGTATTCAGATAGATAGATAGATAGATAGATAGATCTGAACAAACTCAGAAGTGAACGTATTCAGATAGATAGATAGAACGATATCTGAACAAACTCAGAAGTGAACGTATTCAGATAGATAGATAGATAGATAGATAGATCTGAACAAACTCAGAAGTGAAATTCGATCTGAACAAACTCAGAAGTGAAGATTCAGATAGATAGATAGATAGATCTGAACAAACTCAGAAGTGAACGTATTCAGATAGATAGATAGATAGATAGATCTGAACAAACTCAGAAGTGAACGTATTCAGATAGATAGATAGATAGATAGATAGATCTGAACAAACTCAGAAGTGAACGTATTCAGATAGATAGATAGATAGATAGATCTGAACAAACTCAGAAGTGAACGTATTCAGATAGATAGATAGATAGATAGATAGATCTGAACAAACTCAGAAGTGAACGTATTCAGATAGATAGATAGATAGATAGATAGATCTGAACAAATAGAAGTGAAGATAGATAGATAGATCTGAACAAACTCAGAAGTGAACGTATTCAGATAGATAGATAGATAGATAGATAGATCTGAACAAACTCAGAAGTGAACGTATTCAGATAGATAGATAGATAGATAGATAGATCTGAACAAACGTATTCAGATAGATAGATAGATAGATGAACGTATTCAGATAGATAGATGATAGATAGATGAACAAACTCAGAAGTGAACGTATTCAGATAGATAGATAGACTGAACAAACTCAGAAGTGAACGTATTCAGATAGATAGATAGATAGATAGATAGATCTGAACAAACTCAGATATTCAGATAGATAGATAGATAGATAGATCTGAACAAACTCAGAAGTGAACGTATTCAGATAGATAGATAGATAGATAGATAGATCAGATAGAGATGAACAAACTCAGAAGTGAACGTATTCAGATAGATAGATAGATAGATAGATAGATCTGAACAAACAAACGTATTCAGATAGATGAACGTATTCAGACAAACTCAGAAGTGAACGTATTCAGATAGATAGATAGATAGATAGATAGATCTGAACAAACTCAGAAGTGAACGTATTCAGATAGATAGATAGATAGATAGATCTGAACAAACTCAGAAGTATTCAGATAGAACGATAGATTCAGATAGATTAGATAGATAGATAGATAGATAGATCTGAACAAACTCAGAAGTGAACGTATTCAGATAGATAGATAGATAGATAGATAGATCTGAACAAACTCAGAAGTGAACGTATTCAGATAGATAGATAGATAGATAGATCTGAACAAACTCAGAAGTGAACGTAGATAGATAGATAGATAGATAGATCTGAACAAACTCAGAAGTGAACGTATTCAGATAGATAGATAGATAGATAGATCTGAACAAACTCAGAAGTGAACGTATTCAGATAGATAGATAGATAGATAGATCTGAACAAACTCAGAAGTGAACGTATTCAGATAGATAGATAGATAGATAGATAGATCTGAACAAACTCAGAAGTGAACGTATTCAGATAGATAGATAGATAGATAGATAGATCTGAACAAATCAGAAGTGAACGTAGATAGATAGATAGAACAAACTCAGAAGTGAACGTATTCAGATAGATAGATAGATAGATAGATAGATCTGAACAAACTCAGAATGAACGTATTCAGATAGATAGATAGATAGATAGATCTGAACAAACTCAGAAGTGAACGTATTCAGATAGATAGATAGATAGATAGATCTGAACAAACAGAAGTGAACGTATTCAGAAGTGAACGTAGATTCAGATCAGATAGATAGATAGATAGATAGATAGAGATCTGAACAAACTCAGAAGTGAACGTATTCAGATAGATAGATAGATAGATAGATCTGAACAAACTCAGAAGTGAACGTATTCAGATAGATAGATAGATAGATAGATCTGAACAAACTCAGAAGTGAACGTATTCAGATAGATAGATAGATAGATAGATCTGAACAAACTCAGAAGTGAACGTATTCAGATAGATAGATAGATAGATAGATCTGAACAAACTCAGAAGTGAACGTATTCAGATAGATAGATAGATAGATAGATCTGAACAAACTCAGAAGTGAACGTATTTAGATAGATAGATAGATAGATAGATGAACAAATCTGAACAAATTCAGATAGAAGATGAACGTAGATTCAGATGAATAGATAGATAGATAGATCTGAACAAACTCAGATAGAAGTGAACGTATTTAGATAGATAGATAGATAGATAGATCTGAACAGAAAACGTATTCAGATAGATAGAAGTGAACGTATTCAGATAGATAGATAGATAGATCTGAACAAACTCAGAAGTGAACGTATTCAGATAGATAGATAGATAGATAGATCTGAACAAACTCAGAAGTGAACGTATTCAGATAGATAGATAGATAGATAGATAGACACAGATACATATATATTGGTAGATAGATCAGAACAGATGGAGGTAGGTAGGTAAGTAAAATCTTGTGAATTTAGCCGTAAGAGTTTTCCTCTGATTCCGGAGAAACCAATGGTGTAATCTCTTTGCTGATATAAATGCGTTTCCTTGTGTGTGTGTGTGTGTGTGTGTGTGTGTGTGTGTGTGTACGCGCGAGCGAGAACAGGCGTACCAACGTCGCATCAATGAACAGACTTGTGACCACATATCTTCCTGTTCATTTCATCGAGCGAACTCTCAATCGCCATCTTGAACGAAAATATGGCGGCACGGTAGAAGGTCGAGTGACCAAGAGGGGAAAGTAGACGAGAGGGAATCCCGCTTTCCTCCAACCACAACACTCCTAATACCGCACCTTCCGGGCGTTAACCAATCAAATCAATTACGAAAATACATTAAACTCCATGGCCGTAGCCAGATCTAATGGTGCCAACATTAGAATTATCTCGGCAACAAAATACGATGTGGTGTTTATGGTGTTCATAATAATGTTTTGTTTTTGTTTTTTTGGTGGGGGGAGGGGTATTTTATTCTTTTTTTGTTTCTCGCTCAATTCATGTTTCTTTTAACATATTTTTTCTCTTTTTGTCAACTCTCACTCAATATTTCTATAGCTTTCTCTTTCTTTCTGTTTGTTTTTCTCCGTCTTTCTATTTTCTTCCCTTTACATTGTCTTTCTCTCCTTCTCTTTGAATATTTTCCCTTTTTTTAATCTTTCATTCTTCTCTTCCTTTCTCTCTCTCTCTCTCTCTCTCTCTCTCTTTCTTCTCTTTTCTCTTTCTCATATTTTTTGTCTTCTTGCTACTTCTCTATCACTTGTTCTCTTCTTCCTTTCTATATTTTCCTTTCTCTCGTTTTCTCCTCCTCTTCTTCTTTCTCCTTTTCTTTCTCTCATTTTCTCTTATTCCCCTTATTTCACCCTCTCTCTCGCGCGCGTTTACTCTCTCCTTTTCTCTTTGTCTTATTTTCTCTTTCTCTCTTTCTTTTTCACTCATTTTCCTTTTTCTTAATTCTCTCCCGTTCTCATTTTCTATTCTTCTCCCTATTTCTCCCCCCCTCTCTCTCTCTCCTTTTTTCGGCTTTGTTCTTTTCTTTCTTATGCTTTCCTTGTACTTTCTTTTATCCTTTAATCTTTAAAGTTTGTTTATTTACAAAGGCCACTCCAAACGTAATGACTTCTAGTTTATTATGTTGACCCACCATTTCCCAGATGGATGTTGGTGGCATGGCTTCGGAGGATGAATATTCTTACTGTTAATCTACGATATTTGCCCAGTTGCAGATAGCAGTCTGGCAAAACTCTATCTGACATTAAAATGCATACGAAACACTTGTGTGTATTTGCATCCATTGACATTCATCAAAACTTCCAGTGAACATAGTTAGGCAGTGAGTGTATGTATGTATAACTGGCCATTCGTAGCCAATCCCTATTGCAGACGCTTGCTCAGGCGCATTTGTGTTTATTCAACACCCAAAGAGCCCACCTCTGGTTTATACTGCAACTATGCTGAGCAGACCTTAGTTACAGTTTCTGGGGAAAAGCGTATTATCTAGTGTGATCAACAATTTGAACAAGGCCAACACGCTCAAGCCCTCGGCCACGATGACTTGTGATTTCGTGCTAGCTATATCCGTCTACCCAATTTCACTCATAAGGCCTGTTTCAACCCGTGGTATGGTTTTCAGACTAAAAGCACGCTGGGATCGACCCCGATAACATCAGGAAGTCTCCTTCCCGACAAATCGACTTTGGTGCGATTCGAACCCAGGTCTCATTGTCAGAATGCCAACGTTCTAACCACTCGGCCACGCAGGCAGTGGATGATGCATGTCAGTATTAACGATGTGCGTGAGAAGCCAATTCTATAACCACTCGAACGCAATGTGCCAAGGCCGGATTTAAAGTGGGAGAAACATGTCTTCAAGAGACTAAGAACAAAAACTGGACAAATTTACGCAGCACATACCCTGTTGAAAAAGTCTCAAGAGCCAGGTATTAACTCTAGCCTCTCCTGAGAGAGAGTTATTTCAGAGGGACATATTATGGCAATAATAACAGCCATTTCCCTTCATTGGCAGAGCAGTTAACATTGTTGTCGGTTTAAATTTATAAAATCTTTCTGTGAAAATGGGTTTCTCAAGTCTAATAACTGTTATCGCTCTTGCCAGTACTGACGACGAATTCCTTCCTAACGTTTTGTTCGAAGTAGTGTGTAAAGTGAACAGCTTGATTATGTCATTATTTTCTTTTCGAGTTACATGTGCTATCCATTTTAGCTGTTGCTACTGTTGAAAGTCCTCAAGTAAAGTATTTCCTTGTATTTGGTAAAGTTCTTTTTGATTCTGTAGCGCCAGTCTATTAGATCCGATGAAAGACAGCCCTCTTCAAGAACCACAGGGTTCATTCAGCGGAAACCATTTTTCATCACTGATCTGAGAAAACGTTTCTTTATAACTGAGAGTTTAGGCATTTTTGAACGAGTTGGATATCATGCATGAGATCTGACAAGGTTGTTTAAGAGCGTACAATTCAAATACGTGTCGTTCTGGTAAGGAACTCCTGTAACAGATAAGTCACTTTTGGGTAGCGTTGCAGAGCCGTCAACCCAACGAAAATAAATAACGCCTTGAATGTATAAATGTATAACTAGTGGTGGTGACTCTCTGGGAAAATAGTGTTTTATAGCTGAAGATGAAGATGTCCAACAGTATTATTATGTTCAATGGATCTGTTGTAGTTTCTATGAAGATAAATGGAAGTCGTTACTTTGCTTTTTTTTTTAATCAATTCACCCTAAGCAAAGCGATAACGCCACTAAGTGAAAGAGAAGGAAAAGACTTTAAAAGCAAACAGAAACCCAATAATAGTATAAATTTCAGAGTTTAGACAGAGACGTTAGAAGTAGAGTTGAAGTAGATATTTAGAAGGAACTGGAAATCCAATAATCCTAAAAATAGAAACAAGGGATAAACCTCCGTTCCTGTTCAAAAGACTGGCGGGTTGGGTTAAACTGGACGATAAGCAAACATATATACTATTAATAATAAATAATAAAAATTCCAGCATTTAGGCAGAGACATTAGAAGTACAGAATTGAGGTAGAATTTAGAAGGAACTGGAAACCCGATCTTAGACAAGAAACAAAGAATAAACTTCTATTCCTGTTCAAAAGACCGGAGAGACGTGTGAACCGGATGACTGGTTATTTTCTTTCTTTCTTTCTTTCTTTCTTTTACTCAGCCTGTTCACAATTTCTACTCCTTTTTTTTCTTTATTTCCTTCCTTCTCCGACTAGTTTGCTTTTTACCCACCTCATACAACTTTTTTTTATTTCCGGTTTTACTTCATCTTTTTTTTTTATTATTTGATTTCTTTCGATTATGTCTTCATCCGTCTTTTTTCTTCATTCATTATCTTTTCTCATTTTTTTTTCATTTCTTTTTCTTTCCATTGTATTTTTTTTTCTTTTATTCCTTTCTAACCACTTTTGTGTCTTATTTTATTCCTGTCATTAATATATTTTCTTTCACAACATTTTCAGTCATTTCTGTTTTTTGGCGTTGTTTTTTTGTTTTGTTTTTTGGCGTTGTTGTTTGTTTGAATTCTCTTCTCGTTCAAGTGATTTGCGTGTATAGTCTCGTAGAAGACGGTTAAGCAATATGCTATCGACTGTCGGGCCAAGCCGTCATGGCGTGCCAAAAACTGAAAACAAAACCCACCGTTCTCTTCCCGTTTATTCGACATCCAAAGTGCGCGCTCTAATTTGGATCGCTGTCCGTCTTACCCACCCGGTCGGTCAGCTAAACACAACTAGCTTTCCGTTGCGCTTTCTTTGTCTCCCGCCAATGGCGCAGGAAATGCGACCGTCTGTGTCCACTTGTCCTGCTGCCCTCAGTTGATTTCAATCTGCTTCCAATTTTATCGGCAGTCAGTTCTCACGAAGCGACTCCATAATTACCAGACCGACGACGGAAGAATTTCCCGCCATTTCACTTCTCTCTACTTTCACTTTTGCTTTCCTGATCTTTATGTGAAGCAATTCTTCCTGCCCTACACTCGCCATCGTTCTCGGAAACCTCTAGTTTTCCTTTTTTTTTTCTTTTTTTTTTTTTTTTTTTTTGGTTTTACTTTTTATGCGCTTTCTTTATTTTCTTGCTGCAAACTAATTTCCCCCTCTTTTTGCGTTTTCCTTCCTTCTCTTCATAAACCATTTCGTTACAGCGTTTTGCCTTACATTCTTACGTATTTCTTCCTATTTCTATAAGAGAACAGGAGAATAAAGAAAGAAATTATTTATCACAATCTTGCTTCTTCTTCTCTCTCTCTCTCTCTCCATATATATATATATATATATATATATATATATATATTTTTGCGAAAATATATAGAAAATAGGAAAGAACTGGTTAGGTAGATCCAAAGTTCCTTAGTATTTTAGTTATTATTTTTTAAAAATAGTGCTCGATACAAATGTAGAGCATAAATATAATTATTTATTTAAAATATGATTCCAACTCGCGACATAATTTTATAATTATTTATTTATTTGTTGAATCATATTTTTAAATAAATAATTATATATATATATATATATATATATATATATATATATATTCAGTTGTATGGATATTAGTTTATAATCCTGGTTTCACGCTTTTGCGGTCATCAGACAAACTGGTGTTGATCGCAAAAGCGTGAAACCCACGGTTACAAACTAATATCCATGCAACTGAATATGTTAGATAGATATATATATATATATATATATATATATATATATATATATATATATATATATATATATATATATATAATGAAATGGATTATGCCCAACAATTATTTAATATATTTTCTGTTTATACGTTATTTTTCACTTATTTTGAAAACATTTATATTAAAAAAAATTTTGTAAATGAAAATACTGGTATATTATCAATAAATATTTAGCTTTACAAAATTCTGTTCTTTCTTTGACAAATAACATTTCAAAACCTGAGTGTAATGTCTCAACTTGTGGGCGCGCGTGGAAATTACTTTAAAACCTCGGGTTTCACGCTCTGGTTTATTTTTTTCAAAAGTGAATCTACTTATGCTTATTTGTGTTTGTATGGGATGACACACACATGCATACATGAATGCGTACACCTGTATGTATGCGTGTTTATGTATGTGAGAGTGTCATCCCAAACAAACAACGAAGAAAATTATTCTTCCCTCCGCCATACATCTGATGATTGCAGAACCGTGAAACCCGGGTTTACAAACTAATATCCATACAACTGAATATGTAATCTCTTTCACGGATATTGAGCACTTTACTGCGCATATATATATATATAAGTGAACATAGAAGTCAACACTTAGAGGCGACAGTCAAATATGAAGCAGAAATTCTCTCAAAGGTTTCTCTAACTTTTATTTTTTTTATTTCTTGGGTTTTTGTAAATATGAATATGCCATTAATATGTCGAATATATTGGTTTCAAAAAAATATTGTTTTTTATGTGAGCCATGTAAAAATGAAATAAAGTAGAACCAAGTGGCGAACCCATAACTACACCGTCAATTTGTGTTTAAATATTACACACTTGTATCCTGAAGAATAAAAGATTGCACAGAATCGTTGGTTTAACATTAGGAGATGGGAGTAAACACGCACACATACCCACGTTTTAAAAAAATTACCAGGAATACAACCAACTATCGAAAATCGAAAATTAACAAATTTATCAGCGCTAATAATGCCGAACACGACAGTTTTAAACTTCCTAAAATTGTGGGTGATTATAGACCCGGTTACATATTTAGCACTATAAAAACACACAAACAAAACTACCTTCTCCTTCTTGTTATATCGTAAATCCCACTCCTGTGTATCAATTAACAAAAACCATCAACCAATTTATCACGCCATAACTTCCCAGTAAATACAGCATAAAATCAACTCTTGAAGTAATTCAAATTCTAAAAAAAGAAAAACCTACCAATTATACTATAGCCACACTTGACATCGAAACTTTATTCACTAATGTCCCTGTTAGAGAAACTATTGATATTATTATAAGAAACATATACAATAATCCATCTCTACCTCGACTTAAAATTAGACCTACTATATTACAGAAACTGCTGCTAACTTGCACTACCGAAGTCTCATTCTATGATCACAAAGTAATATATATATATATATATACAATGGGGTGGCGTCTCCTTGGGTTCAGTTCTGGCTCCCACTTTTAACAATTTCTATATGTTTAATCTTGAAAATAATATAACAATTTAAAAAAAAAAACCTCCATCCACCTAAGATATGTCGATGATATCCTTATATTAATCAAGAATAGCGAAGAAATAGATCAACTCCAAAAGCAATTCCAAGATGTCCTTAATTTACATACGTACAAAGTTTGTATGTAAACTTAAGGACAGAATTATCAACAAAATTATCAACAAAATTAATTTTCTAGATATATTGATAGACACTAATAAAATAAATTCACTATCTCCGCATATAAAAAATACCTACTAGCATATATTCGTACACCTTTCACTATAAGAGTGAATGTCCAAATTACGACAAAACAGCAACAACTCTTATTAATAATATCTTCCCTAATTATATTGTTGATGAACAAATAAGATTTTCTATTAGAAATTTTAATATAAAGCAAATAGAATATAATACTTCTTTAACTAACCCCAAACATATTCATCTTTTATATCGCAAACAAATACTTTCTAATTATAAACAGGACGAAAATATCATAAAAAATTAATAAATACTAATATATGTACCAAAGATCCTAATAAAAAAATTAAATTAATTATATACTACACTAAATCTAGTATATCTAATTCAATCATTCGTAACGACTCTTCCCGTCTACTAACATGTTTTCAGAAAGTCAACATTGTCTATAAATTTAAATGTCATCTGGGAGGTTGTATCTTCAAAGGTAAAAATAATATTTCTGTTGGACACACTACGAAAACGTTGTCTCGGCGGTTGAGTTTTAATTTGAATGATATATCCAACATTTCTAAACACTTACAACAGCATACTTCTCCACATTTGCAATTCAGAAAATTTTTTGTTGAAATATACTTTTTCATGAAAATAATAAACATAAACTAAAAATTTTCGAAACTATTTATATTAAACAAAATTGAAAGCAAAGCTTAATAAAATTAATTATGAATTCTGTACACATATTTTTTAAATGTATACAATAGATAATTTAAAATATCAATTTTTGCACTGATAGTTTTAATAATCCCAAAAACTCTCGACAAACCATAGTTAGTTACCTCCCCTGAAGCGGTGTCAAACGGTCATGTACTGATTCATCGTTCTTCACTTCAAAAGTAAAAAAAAAAATAACTTTCAGATGAACACAGCAATTTTGTCTTTGAAAATGATGAACACTACAACATTTGTTTTGAAATAAACACTCTAATGAGGACATTTTGCTTGTCGAAAGTACTCGGAATAAAATAATATGTATCAATACAGTAATTTTCTGTCTTCCTTTAATAATGGCACTAAAAAGCTTGCCCGTGAATATAAAAGGATCCAACTGAAAATAAGTACACAAAACTTGTCTAAATTATTCAATGAAACATGTCTCAATATATATATATATATATATATATATATATATATATATATATAATCATTCTCGGCAAATTCATTTTCTCCGTTCGTTTACTGACGCCTGGAAAATATTTCAATGATTCTTGCGTTAAGATAACAATTTTTGTCGTACTATCTCTCTATTTTCATTCACTAACTTATTTTCTAACATGTTCCCCGCCTTCCTTGCTACCGTTCGGATTTGTCTTATATAAATATCTTCCTCATTTTCCATTCTTTTCTTATTTTCCTTTACACTGCTAAAACGTTCATCTTATATATCTTCCTCTTTCTTTTTTATCTTTACATTCTGCATCTTTTATTTGTTCGCTCATTTTGTTCATTCTTTCTTTCACTTGCACTGGATTCCTTTCAACGGCTTTTTCAACTTCTCGTCTTCTCCCGCTTCTCCTCCTTCCCCGTTCCTTTTCTACATTCATTTTTCCCTCTTTTTCTTCGTTCTCCTTCCCCACCTCCTTTCGAGCGTTTCTTCCACTCTCTCTTCTTTGATGTTCTTTCTTTCCCTCTCTCTATTTCGCTCTCTCTCTCTCTCTTTCTCTCTCTATCTATCTCTATCTATCTATCTATCTTTTTTCTCTTCTTTACAACCACGACCTCGACTATTTTCCTTCTTTTCTTTCTTTCTTTCTTTCTTTCTCTCTTTCTTTCTTTCTTTCTCTCTTTATCTATCTATATTTTTTCCTTCTTTACAACCACGTCCTCGACTGTTTTCCTCCTTTTCTTTCTTTCTTTCTTTCTATCTATCTATCTATCTATCTTCTCTCCTTTAAAACCACGTCTTCGACTATTTTCCTCCTTTTCTTTCTTTCTTTCTTTCTTTCTATCTATCTTTTTTCTCTTTTTTACAACCACGTCCTCGACTATTTTCCTTCTTTTCTTTCTTTCTTTCTTTCTTTCTTTCTTTCTCTCTTTATCTATCTATATTTTTTCCTTCTTTACAACCACGTCCTCGACTATTTTCCTCCTTTTCTTTCTTTCTTTCTTTCTATCTATCTATCTATCTATCTTCTCTCCTTTAAAACCACGTCTTCGACTATTTTCCTCCTTTTCTTTCTTTCTTTCTTTCTTTCTATCTTCTCTCCTTTAAAACCACGTCTTCGACTATTTTCCTACTTTTCTTTATTTCTCTCTTTCTTTCTTTCTTTCTTTCTATCTATCTTTTTTTCTCTTTTTTACAACCACGTCCTCGACTATTTTCCTTCTTTTCTTTCTTTCTTTCTTTCTTTCTTTCTTTCTATCTTCTCTCCTTTAAAACCACGTCTTCGACTATTTTCCTCCTTTTCTTTCTTTCTTTCTTTCTTTCTATCTATCTTTTTTCTCTTTTTTACAACCACGTCCTCGACTATTTTCCTTCTTTTCTTTCTCTTTATCTGCATCCTTATTTCTCCAACCATCTGCTTCTCATCCATGTTCCTCTATTCTCTCCACCTCCCCTTCCTCCGCCTCTTTTCTCCTCTCGCTTTCTTTTTTTATTTCTTCCTCCCCCTCCTGATTTCTATCCTCTTTTCTCTTTTTATCATTTATATTCCTGCCGTACAAAACCGCGAAAAACACCTGCCCCAGTGCTAGCGATATCAGATCGTTCATTTCCGCCCATGTCAGAATAGAGGCGGCCGTATGTTTCCCCGATAATTTACTAATGAAATACATCGGTGATCGGGCGTCGTCGACGTCCTCGTCTGGCGAGTAGACAATCATTGGACGCGCGCTGCTCTTTGCTCTGTATGGGCAGCAAGAAGACAGCGAGCCAAAGAAAGAAGGAGGCGGAAAGGAAAGGGCGGTAACTACGGTTGGGTTCAAGAGCGATGATAATGATGGTGACGGTGGTGGTGTTTGGGGTAAATGATGAGGAAAGTAGGAAAAAAGTAGTTGTTATGTACACCCGGCGAAAAGGATGCTTTTCTTAAGGATTAGGCAGCAAGTGTAGGCTGTAGTGTAGCGAAAATAAATGCTCTGCAATGAGTGGGGAAAAGGTTCGGTGTTGTGAAAAAGATGCTGGCAAAATCCTAAAAGCACATGAGTAGTTCAGGTTCTATTGTGTGTGAATTTAGATAGATAGATAGATAGATAGATAGATAGATAGATCTGAATAGATGATTAGATAGATAGATAGATAGATCTGAATAGATGATTAGATAGATAGATAGATAGATAGATCTGAATAGATGATTAGATAGATAGATAGATAGATAGATAGATCTGAATAGATGATTAGATAGATAGATAGATAGATAGATCTGAATAGATGATTAGATAGATAGATAGATAGATAGATCTGAATAGATGATTAGATAGATAGATAGATAGATAGATAGATAGATAGATGATGAATAGATAGAAATAGATAGATAGATAGAATAGATGATAGATAGATAGATAGATAGATATGAACAGACCTAAATAGATAGATAGATAAATAGATAGATAGAACAGATAGAAATGAATAGATAGAAATAGAACAGAGATAGATAGATAGATAGATAGATATGAACAGACCTAAATAGATAGATAGATAGATATGAACAGACCTAAATAGATAGATAGATAGATAGATATGAACAGACCGAGATAGATAGATAGATAGATAGGTAGATAGATATGAACAGACCGAAATAGATAGATAGATCTGAATAGATAGATAGATCTGACTAGATGATGATATCGATAGATAGATATATCTGAATATATGATGATATAGATAGATAGATAGGTCTGAATAGACATAGATAGATAGATAGATAGATAGATATGAACAGATGATGATATAGATAGAGAGAGAGATGAGCGACAGTGATTAATTTCGAAGAGGAAAGTATCGAACTAAAATCCGATATTTCCTTAGGGTTGCATCATTTAAATGTTGATATACCGTCCAATGATGCCTGCTGTAAATGTCTTACTCTGTATCACTGCCACAAATACTTAATTCTGCTCCTTCAACTTCCTTAATATCCTGATTTTTTATTCCTTCATTTTTCATTTAGATCTTCATTGTTTATTTAACTTCTATAAAATCGATTGTATTACCGGCGACATTATGGCGACGTTCAAAAATGGTGTCGTTTGAAAATGCGAAATGTCTCTCTCGGCCTGTTCAGCGCCCGTTAGGCATAGAAATGGCCGTGAAGCCAAACCTATACTGATATAGAATGGCGAAGAGAAAGGGGTTAGCGTCAAGAAATTCGAGTAACTGCAAATTATAGAGAAAGCAGACGACAATGAACAAATCGAGAAAGAAAGAAAAAAAAGAAAGAAACATTTATTATGAAACGACGGCTGTAAGAGAAAAATCGATAGAATAAAAAATAGAAGCGTGAAGAGATTTTCTTTTAAAAATAAACAGGCAAAAATAAAATTATAATTTTGAGAGACAATTGAATTTTTTCTTGACAATTGATTTTACTCTTTCATTTATTAATAAATAAAAGATTACCGATTTAAGATGCTCTGAAGGTTTGTGATCGCCGTCGTTCTTGTATTAAAGCCACTTCTTTTCAAACAATTTGATCAGGTTGAATCAAGAAAACTTCGTTTAATCTTTCAAAAGAACGAGAAACAGTTAATCTATATTTTCATAAAAGATGCTATACTCAAGAGTTATGGCCAGAAAAACAAGGCAGCCTTTCAGACAAATATAATCAAAACCAACGGAACTTTTTTTACATGTTTTGTTTTTCTTGTATCATTCTTTAGTTCCACCAGTTCAGATTTTCACAACTAGGATACGCCATGCTATTTTCACGGAATCGAATCAACCTCGTTTCTCCCGTGTTAGCAATAATAAGACGAAATTGCAACTTTTTTTCAAGAACTGCTACTTTTGTTCTCGCTTGATTATTGCAGTCTTAACCTCTTCAAGTTAAGGGTCAATCGTTATCTGTGTTCCTTGTCCTCATAATCTTCACTTCCTGTCACTTTCTCTTTCATATATATCACACACCTCATAACCATTTTAACATTAACAGTCTACGATGAGTGTCTCACACGCCTTGTATTAAAAATTCAATTAACCAGTTTCGCATTTGATTAATCCTGAAGGTAAAATAGGCTCATCATTTCGCTCTGAATAGTAGACACTTTATTTACAATAACTATTTATTAATTTGGGTTTAGATTGCAATAAGCCGACTATTGTATAATAAATATATTTATTTCTTATTATTGTTCTTTATAAATTAAAACAAAAGAATTATTTTAAGACATTTTTTATGTTTATACGTTCTTTTTATAGATACAAATATTTAAGTAAATGCTCTGTTTATAATAAACAGTATTAACAACATTTACCGGCCTGAATGTCCGAGAAACTTTCATAGAAAATATTAGTCCTCCGACAGGAATCGAACCTGTATCCTATACGGAACCGTCATATAGCCTGACGTGCTTTAACCGAAATTGGGACACAGAGGAGCGTTCGGTTAGCAAGGTCGATTTTACTATATACCTCAGGTTAAATAATTGTCGGACATTTTATAAAAGAATTATTGTAACATTGTGGCTGTAGAATAAAATAGGGTAATTTAAGATTAAGGATAAAATCGTTTAACAGCCACAAATGTGATTAGAAATATATATTTGACAGAGTCAGCGGACGGCCACAGGTCCCACAAGAAAGAAAGAGTAAAGGAAATATGATGTGCTATAGATCGGAGGGTAAAAAAAAAAAGGAGTTCCTTCCACCAATGTTTTAGTTTTGGGAGCAAGACGAGCCTGGAGTAGGGAAGTCTTCTCTCACTGACCTTACCCCCATCCACCTCCATTGCTTTATAATATAATGATATGGACAATTATTTAATATATTTTCTGTTTATACGTTATTTTTATAGATATAATTTATTTAAGTAAATGCTCTGTTTTTAATTAAACACGATTAATTACATTTACCGACCTGAATGTTCGAGAAATTTCGTAGAAAATATGCGTTCTCCGACAGGAATCAAACCTGTATTCCTATACGGAAACCGTCATTTGATCTGACGTGCTATACTATTTAGCTACAGAGAAGTGTCTGGTTAGAAAAGTCCAAATTACTGTTTATAAACACACAATCCTCGACGATTTTTCTCGATCGATCATATCTGATCATGAAACGTATCTTAACGTAAACAATGACAGTATATAATGAAATGGATTAAACCCGACAATTATTTAACATATTTTCTGTTTTATATATATATATATATATATATATATATATATATATATACTTTTTAAATTCTTTAAATATAGTTTTTAATGTACATACAAAATAACATTTTGTATTACTTACCCATTTACATCGCTATTTCAAAGGAAGAAAGGATTTAAATCGTGGCAACGGGGATGTACAGTCTCCCGCTTACAAGACACTGCGGCTTAGAAGACGCGCTGTAATATTGGAAAGAAATTCCTAAGAACAAAAAGTTATTCTCATACAACAACACATTCACCACATACTGGTGCCATGTACTGTTTACATTAATCACTCATCTGATTTTGTTTGTAAGGCAATGTCATACAAGTCAAGAGCATGTATCAGGTAAATGCAAAATGTATTAGGTAGATGCAAAATGTATTATGCAGATGCAAAATGTATCAGGTAAATGCAAAATATATTAGGTAGATGCAAAATGTATCAAGTAGATGCAAAATGTATTAGGTAGATGCAAAATGTATCAAGTAGATGCAAAATGTGTTAGGTAGATGCAAAATGTATCAGGTAAATGCAAAATACATTAAGTAGATGCAAAATGTATTAGGTTGATGCAAAATGTATTAGGTTGATGCAAAATTTGTCAGCGCTCTTTTCGGAAACCTGGTGACTGTATTTAACCCAACAGTTGTTGAGACAAACATGGCTAAAAGCTACAAATAATAGAAATAAAGCAATGATTGACCACGTCTTAAAGGGACACAGCAGATAAAAGGCGTCGTTATTAACACTATTTATATTCGAACTATTGTCCTCATAATAACAATTATCACAACGTTTCGGCTGATATGCCCTCCGGTCATCCACGGCTGTATATCGATCTGGTTAATCTACAGGGAATACTGAACTGAACCCTTTCTTTAATCTAGGGTTGTAGACTGCTCCGGGAATATCGGAGTATTATTTATAGTACTGCTCAATTTTTGCTCACAGGTTAACACTGAATCGAAGTACACACTGCCCGACTCTGGGATTGAACTCACAGCCACTATATCACCAAATTCACGAACCAACACTTTAATCCACTAGGCCATTTGTTTTCGTGGTGGTGGTGGGGGGGGGGCATATCTTTCAAAGGATAATTTTCAACTGACAGAAAAATGACCCTGAGTCGACCATGAATAGAAATGAATACAATATGGGAACCAGTAATAAGGAGTGCCAGAGAAAAGAAATAATAACAACGAAAAATTGCAATATGAGCTCTGGTAAAAAAAAAAAAAAATTGCAATGAAAACAGCAGAAATTGCAATATGAGGACTGGTAAAAAAATAAATGCTGAAGACATTAAGTTTATATGTCCCAGAAATTCATACACTTAAGGAGACATGACACAGTGGATAAAGGCGTTGGTTAGATCCAGTGACAGAACCCAAAGATCTCATTACCTGGTTAAGGCAGTGGAGAACTTGGAAAAGGGAATTAACAGCAGATGACTGATAACTGACATCTATTAGATATGACACGTGGAACTAGAGCGAAATAAAGGGTTCAGTTCGACATTCCAACAACCTGAAGAAGGCCGGAACGTACATCTGCCGAAACGTTATGATAAATATGGCAACAAAGATCAATAGTCCTAATAATGTAAATAGTGTACATTCATCTCAGAAATATAGACAGATATTAAAAAAGATTTTATCGAGATTTGTGGGCATATTTTAAGTGATGTTTCGAATATAAAAATTATATCCTAATTGGATATCCCATACAAAATTCGCCATTAACATTATTTAATATGTTTGAATATTTAATTATTATGAATGATTTCTTATCTTTTTTCAGATGGTGCCAGTGAGAGAGACAAAGTCTCCAGTCGTATGCAAGCGAATGGGGATACATCACAGAAAGCAGACAGCAACAGCGAAACAATTAAAACATCCTCCGACATTATCAGAACATCAACATCCTCCTCATCATCATCTTCATCTTTATCCTCTTCATCATCATCTTCAACTTCAACGACGACGATAACAATAACAGCAGCAACAACGACACCAATAACGACAATAACCGATGAGCCTTCCCCAAAGAGGCGGAAACTGTCGAACAGCAAATACGAAATCAAAACGGAAAAGGCCGAACTACCCAACTTCAGCGCCGCTTACCGGCTCCCATTCTGTGCTAGTCCCCAGTTCTTTTACCCACCAGTTATCTCCTACCCGTATCTCACGTCATCATTGTCGAACACTAGCCATTTGATGGCTGCCTCCGGATTCACTTGGTCTAATACATTCCCTTCATTATTGTCACATACAGCCAATGCCGCCGCCTCAGGCAAGTCACAATGAGACAGCCAGATATTGCGGCCATGTTTGCACATGCGTAGCCATATTCGAATTATTATTATTATTATTATCATTATTATTATTTAATAAAAATAACTACAATCAATGATGGCGGCTGTGTTTTGCATTGTACTTAATTTATTTCTTTATGGTTAATTAATTAAGGATTATTGCGAGGATTTTTTTTAAATATTAATGACCGGATACTGGTCGGAGATTTTCCTCGCTCATCACTAATTTTTAAACATTATTATTATTATAATTATTATTATTTTGAAAATTCTTCTTTAGGGATTGAAATAAAACAAAATTAGAAAAGAATATGAAAACTGACATCAACAAAACGAATGAATAATTGCCTGGATTAAATGGATAAGAAAGAATGAAAATGAATGAGTGAATGAAAAAAAAAAGTGTTGTGGGGGGGATAAATAAAATAATGGGGAAAAGAAAGGAAAAGAACGGATTTTATTCTCATAAAAAAAACAAGAATGTAGACGCCGATTTGGTTGTTGAACTGAAATAAAAAATAGTCGCAGCGGCAAATCAAAACAAAAGATAAAACTATTCTGACATGAAACACTATCACTCTTTGACGAGTTTTTACTCCTCTGCGATGCTTTTTATCATAACGTTTCGGCTTCTGTATTTTTTGACACCCGTGAACTCTGACTTGTCTTGTGAGGGGGAAAATACCAGACAAAACTCAGGGATGACTAAAAGTAACAAGCACCTGAGCAATATTCAAGAACAGCGGAAAGGTTGTGATAAAAACAATAAAGATGAAGATATTAGTCCGAATAGTTCGCCGAATAAAATAAAGAAAAGAACATTTAGGAACAATGGACACAAAAACGATAATAGTGTTTATACTCTCTCTCTCTACCCCCTCTCTCTCCTTCCCACACACACACACACACACACACACACACACATATATATATATATATATATATATATATATATATATAATGTCTTATATAAACTTCCTTGTCTTCTCCTGTGAGTTACATTTTGTTATGTTCGTATTTATTACATTAACTGTTATACCTCAAAAATGGTCTTTGTTATTTTTTCTTCATAATCTTTTCAAATTTATGTTATGATTTCAGGAATTTTTGTCTCTATTGTTAAATGATCGCCTGTTCCCTTTCAGGTAATCTTTATTTGCTTCCTAAGACGACATTAAATCCCACCTATCGATGCTAATCTAATGGATCGGAATCTTGATTATCTGAAAAAGCCTTTACGACAATAAAAGATCCTATTTGTTTCTTCAGTAATTTATAACAAAAACACGTGTGTCTCTCTATGTCATAAATTACTGGGGCACTTCGGCTTGGTGTTATCGTTATTAAATGTCTCCCGCTAGATCAATTACGACTGAATACTAAATTATATCCTTACTGAGCGCACCATACTTTCGGCCTTGTGCCACATCTATGCTACGCGTAGAAAATCCCTATGTTTGCAATTACTGGTTGTCACTGTTGGTTTTAATTTAATGCTGTCTTCAGGAATGGTTTCGTTTTCTACTTGGATTTCCAATCCATCTAATCAAAAAGATTAAAAGCAGAGGCGTGGAACATGATTGATTGAGTGGGTAATTCGTTTTCTACGGGTTATCAACCCTTTCAAAGCCAGAAAATATTTTTTTAATTCTAAGAACATTTTTAGGTTTGGGGCGATGAGATAATAATGGTTTAGTGATACAAGTTTTATTAACCCATAGCTGGGGGAGAAGAGGTGAATTCATACCTTTCTCAAGGTTATTTGAGCGTAAGTCAACATAACGAACCCAACGGGAATTAGAACTCGGCTGTCCGTTTAGCAATTCCGAACCATTATACCACATGCACATCCTGTTTGGTATTCTCAAACGGTCACCCATCTAGGTACTGACCAGATTCGACGTTGCTTAACTTCGGTGATCGTATTGGCATTTCGACGTGATGTGGCCGTATGTCGGTGTAGAATATGAATATAAGAGTAAATCGAAGTGAAGACTATGAGGACATGGATGATATATAGCGATTAGACTTGAAGACGTTAAGGTTGTAATATTCAAGAAAGTATCCACGCGGGATTTTGTCCGACAAAGTAGCAGTTCTCGAGAGAAAGCTATTTGAGTGATACTTCTTCGTTACAAATGGAAGAAATATGAGTAATTCAACAATGTGCTTTGAGAATGTTCCGAGTGCTCCACTAATGACATGCACAACTATCATGTTTATATTCCACATTTTTTCAGTTCTCAGAAAGAGGTGAAATTTAAATTATTCAGTGTTTCATTCTCAGTTTCACTCTGAAGACATCTGACTAATCTTTTTTTTTCTATCTGTAATGTAGCTTCCCTATGCCATTTCTATAAATATTTTCATAGTAATTATTCTTTGGAACCTAGACTTTATGAATTTAAGCGCAGTACTAGATTGGCACCTAGGTCTCATAATTTCAAAGTGGAAATTGCTAGATATATCCGTAAGTTCTATGCTAACAGTTTCTTCTCTCGCAATTCTCGCTTGTGGAACTCTCTTCCGGTCTCTTACTTTCCAGTCAATTTCAAAAATTTAAACGTAATGTCAATCGTTATCGTCTGTCTTCTTCATTCTTGTTCTTTTATTGTTCTCTCTCCTTAATAATGTTTTTTTTCTTATATTCTTTCACACTCAGTGGCTCCCTTGCGTCTTAGTGGCTTTATTGCCTTTCTTGAAATGAAATGATTATAAAGAAATTCTGAGATGAGGAATTATCATTATTTACATTATTTACATCCGGATGTTATCCCCATCTTTGCTGTTATTATCAGTTAATAAAGACAAAAATATGGATATTAGTATTAAATACAATCCCCCCCACCCACGAATGAGACAATGAAATGTGGTTCTACAGAAGGATACTGAGAATTCCATGGACGGGGCGAGTAAAGAACGAGCAAGTCTCAAAGGAAATGGCATCAAAAAGAACTCTTATACTCAAAATCAGGATTTTGATTTTCTCAACCAAAATTCCATGGACACATAATGAGGGTTTGAAAAACTTAATCATCACGGGGCATATTATGAGTGAGATAAATCAAGGAAAGCATCGAACCATCTACCCTGATAAGCTTTCGGGAATGGATGGCTGAATGCGGGGTGGGAGCCTTAGCAGAGCGGGAAAAACTATTAAGGACAATAAGCTTGTCCATGTCCTTAAGGGACGCGGCACATAGAAAAAGAAAAGATTTATATAACGGATATAATTTCTTTTAGCTTACGATGTCTACATTCGATATCTTGGTGATAAAATTGAAGTTTAAATTACTGAAGAAATTTTTTAATACGAAAATTCATATAATACAAAGTAAAGCGTTATTGAATAAGATGTTATGATATGAACATAAGAGGAGGTGAAGCGCGTTGCGATGAGGGAGATAGATAGCGATTAGCCCAACGTTAAAATGATAGTATTCAGGAAAATATCCACGTGAGAGTTTGTCCCACAACGTAGCAGTTCTGAAGAAAAAGCTGTCCGGGTTGAACTTTCTCCTTACAAATGAAATACAGAGAAAATATGGTTTTGATTCGACTCCTAACTGTAAATGCCTGAACTAGAAATGAGAGGTATTGAAAATCAAAAACAATCCTATTATAATTCTCTTTGTTCCTCTGTTACTTAGCACGTGCATTATGCACTGCCATTGCAACAGGTAAATAATGGACCGATTCATTTTGGTTGCGAGGAAAAACGGAAGAAAAAGGTATATCGTAGTTTGGTTTTTGCTGGCATAAAAGAACGCATAAATAATGATATTAATAAGAAAGAAAGAAAGAAAGAAAGAAAGAAAATGAAAATAAAAGAAGCAATAAGGTTATGTGGGTTACTCGCTATCTATCCTACATAATATACAAACCTTGTTCTCTACCCTGTACGCCTTTAACAACACGAGCTACATTCCTTAGTTCCCCCAATCATAACCTTTACAACTAGGATCCCCATGCCAAGTTCAATGTAGCGAAGCAACTACACTGCTTTCATATTTCACTCGAACAGATCCTTCCGACGAATTGCTATCTCGTGAAATCAACTCCCAAGACATTTTCTCGACCACTATAATATTAACCTGTTCTTAATCGTTCATAGCCTCTTAGCTCTCCTTCTTACCGTTCACAAAACAAACTCTTTCAGTAACACTCTACCTCGAGTGACTCTTGAGCCTTGTATATGGTGGTTAGTGAAAAAAATACCCAATCAGTGGTTCTTCGTCTTTGTATTAGGTGAGCAACAGTTAAAAGAAGAATACGTGTTATACACTGAAATTTGAAATATAATACGCAAAACTAGTTTTCATGTGTATTGATTTTTGATCATTTTCAAAGTGAATGCAGTGTTGAGATCAAAGTAACATTTATTTTTCTCGCCCGAATACATCTTACACATTTATTCTTCCATTCTTTGAATATTGCTGCCATGGTTTGGTGCTCCTGTTTTATATTTATAGATTCTTTATAAAATCCAAAGAAGGATCTGCAATGTCGTTGGTCCTGACATGGCATCTCGGTTTCAATCACTTTCCCTTCGTTGTAATGTAGTTACCCTGTGATTTTTCTATAAACATTTTCATGGTAATTGTTCTGATGAATTCACCTTTTGGGTACGTCAGCCAGATACTCTGCTCCGGTTCCAGTTGATGAAGTCGGCAAAGAGATCAGAGGGTACGAGACGGTGACAGGAGCACCAGATCAACCGCGATTAGTCGATTGGCTTTTGGTTAGGCGCGTAGAAAAGAGTTTCTCTTCCTGGGTGCATTCCTCTGGACGGATGGGCTGGTCAAGATACTCGGCGTCTATCTCTTGTTGGAAATGAATTGGTCGGAAGTGCGGGAGAAAGCCGAGGTCGCAGCTCGTCTGTCGTTTCGGAGGAATCTTTCCTTAAAGGGGAGGACTCAAGTATGTCCCTCGCACATCTACATGACTTTCCTTTACCGACTATGAGTCTTCCACTCTTCTATACCACACTAATGGATTAAATAGGATTTTGTTCTTCTTGTGGT